CTTTGGAATTGTGTATTCATGAACTCTGAACCTCTGTCAGACTGCAGTTGCGCCACCTGGTGGCCAAAGCACCGTTCAACTGATTTCAGCCAATTCCTAAATGTCTGGAAGACCTCTGTTTTTGATTTCAGTGTGAAACAGAATGAAAAATGTGTATAATCATCCACAATCACCAGTGCAAATTTTGTCCCTCCTAATGAGGGTGGAAATGGCCCTATCAGATCAGCATGTACCAACTCAAATGGCCTGCTTGTCTCTCTGACACTCTGTCTCCCTTTTGGAGCAACATGCGTTTTGCTTTGTTTACAAACTTGGCAATCCAAGTAATTTTTACAATCCTTTATGTTCACACCTCTAGCCATGTTCTCTAGTTTCTGTCATTCAGCCTGTTTATAGCCAATCCTCCTATGCTTCCTGTGCTGTGCGCCATCCTGCCTTCTCTTGCAGTTCTCTGTTTCCTTTCCCCTCCTGGGGTAACAGACGAACTGTCTTCTCCCAAATCTTCTACTTCACTGCCACTTTCACTCTCCTCCTTCATTAATATACTTCACCCACGTTACTCACCACCGACACTTTACCAGTTCTTCTTGTGTTGCCGTCTGGACTCTGTCTGGCTTGCGCAGCACACGTTGCTGGGCCCAGAACCTCTGTTACGGTTTTGGCGACAGTAGAAAACGCAGAGTTATTCTTTTGTTGCAAGACGGTTGTATTTACACGTATTTACAGTTATATACAGGTAGGTATCTTAACAGCACGGCAGGAACTCTTTGTACAGTCTGAAAGCATGTGTGGCAGCAAGTGATAGTGGAGGAAGAGAGAGAAGCAAAGACACAGTCCACTTATATACATGTACATGGCTCATTCAGTCCAATCAGAATGCAGATGGCTTCATTCTCTTGCACCTGGTCTTCTTTTGATTTCAAATCATTGCATCAGCTCCAGAGTGATTCAGCATTCTCACATCTGTGCACAATGGCAGCTCATTAATGAAACACATATACAGGTTCAGGCTTATAAAATTTCTATATTCTGACAGAACATCCGGAGGCCCAAGGTTGGGGACCACTGCTCTAAACCCTCCCCCTCCCTTCCCCCCCTCCAAAAGTATCCTGCAGCACCTGCAATTTCAGTGCCATCCATGCATGGTGCAGAAAGGGAAACCTGGCCCAGTCTGGGTTTCCTGCCCTTCTGTTTGCAAGTGAGCCTTCCCTCCTCCATTTTTCCAGAAACGGCTTCCCTCGGAGAAGTCAGACCACAAGTGCATTCCCATTAAACCATGTGCATATCTAGCATAATCTCTGGTTCTAGCTAGTGGCCAGTCCTAGTAATACACCTTGGGAATGTTTGTTGATGTGTTTCATTTTTTTTTTCAGGCAGTGGATAAGTAAAACTATGGGTACTGAACCCATGGATATGACAGTCCTACTGTATTGGAGCCAGGGCTAGTGACCAGTAAAGTCAAGGGAGCTGCAAGTCAAAAAGGTTTGGGAACCACTGCTATAGTTAATAATTTCAGAAGAGGCACAAGAGAAGGGCAAACTTATTTTTTAGAGTGTGGATGCTTATGCATCCAAACTTGCATTATCCAGGCAGAAAACAGATACAGTGGTGCCTCGCATAGCGAGGTTAATCCGTTCCGGATTAACCTTCGCTATGCTGAAGCATCGTTGAACGGATCAAAAAAACCCATTGGAACGCATTAAACATCGTTTAATGCGTTCCAAATGGGCCAAATACTCACCGTTCAGTGAAGCTTCGTAATGGCCGGCAGCCATTTTCGCGCCCTTGCCTCGCTTAACAAGGGCGCGAAAACGCTGCGCGTGGCCATTTTGGGCCATTTCCGGGCTTCCGGTGGCCATTTTGGCCGCCGAACAGTTGATCGTCGGGCTTCGTTTTGTGAAGATCGGTAAGCGAAACGCTTACCGGTCTTCGCAAAGCGAATTTAGCCCTATTCAAAAAACGTTAAGCGATCGCATTAGCGATAAAAAAAAACGGATCGCTATGCGATTTCATTATGCGGTGCGCTCGAAATGCCCACCCTATAGCTTAAGGAGCAGTGGATATTCTTAGAGGCCGTGGCAGAATAAGAACATGATGGATGAGCATATGCTAGAAAAGAGCAGGACCACTTTCTGCTGCTATATTTTGTTGCAGATCCCATTTGTATATCAGAGCTGTTTGGAGCTGATAACACTTTTGATTCACAATCCTTTAAAACCAGTTGTGGTTTTAAAGACCTTAAAATGAATTTGGATTACCCACAATCTGAAGTACCACAAAAGCTATAGCCAGTCCTGTGGGATTTTTGTCAGATTTGTTGTCCATTCCATAGAAATGGGAAATATTTTGAGGAACTGGTCTCATCGCGCAGCCACAGCATGCTTTTTTTTGAAACGGGCATATATGAAAGTAGGTTCTGCAGAAATATGGAGTTCTTTAAAAACTATAGAGATAGAAGGCAGGATGTGTGTTGACAGAGGCAGTCTAAAAAGAAACCGTAACCATGATGAAAAGGTGAGATCACAGTCCTTTGTGGTAATTACGTAGCAACCCTGAATGCAATGACTGCAGTTACAGTTACTCTTCGGGCCTTCCCTATTAACAAAGGTAGAGGAGGTAGAGGAGAAGCCAGGGCACAACCCTTCTGCCTTTCATTTTTATCACTTCTGAATGCATAGAGATTAAGTGCTCTTGGGTTTGGTTCTAAAGCATGGAAAAGTTTGAGGTGGGATTCTGGGACTTGTAATCCAGAAAAGGAAGCTTACCAAATTATGCTTGGGAGTTGGTTCCACTAACGAAATCTAAGTGTGTTTGCTTAGGAAGATCCTGCTGAACAGCGTCATAATCTGCTTCCCATTAAAGCTGATATCTTAACAGTATTAGACAACAGGCAAATACCTGGGGTTCATTGTACCTCCCTTCTGTGGCAAATCTCCAATCAGAATCTCAGCTCCTTTTATCCGTGACTCACAACAGTCTCCTCTGTTGGTTATCACCACGGCAGATACCTGGAAGGCTGAAGTCAAATCTACCATCCACCATGGTTCAAACTCCTTGTTTGTCAGAGTGCAGTCTCCATGGGCATAACTGTTGGCCAATGATCCATCTATAGCCTTCTCTGATGTCCCCTTTTCTTCATAGGTACTGGACTGGGATGATATTTTCCCCACTGCTATATTTGGGTCTGGGGAAAAAAGGCAAGGAGAACACAGATAGCACCAAAACATCACATTACCAGGTTGGAGATCTATCTGTACAACTTCACCTCCAGTTTCTTCCCTACGGGTAGCCAGTTACTATATGCAAGTCCACAAAACAGGATAATTTGGTAGTATCCATAACCTTGGACATCCTAGCCAACGCAAATCCACACACACCCGTCCCCAGCATCTGATACTTCAAAGGTTTACAGTAAAAGCAATATACCTCCCTGAAGCAAATAATTTTAATCCACGGAGCAATACACACACTTGTCCTCATTCAAAACGCAGGCACATTGATGTGTCCTTCTTGTACCTTAACTTCCACTCCAAATAAACATTAGTCCTCTAAAGCTTAGTCTAAACAACCCTACTCTCTGTATAGGATATTATTAGTAGTATGAAGAAACTGAAACAAAACATACAGTCAACCATAACTACACGGTTACGGTGTGTAGAAATTGATAAATTCATTAAATACATCTAGACTTAGCATTTACCTCCAACTGGGACTATGGAAGCACCTGCAAGACCAATATTGCTGCTACTGCCTAGAAAAGAGAACAACAAGTAATACTAATCCAGGAAAACTGCTACAGCTTGTGAAAATTTATGAAACAAATGTGTAGTGTTATTGTCTTAAGTACAATTCATTTTACCCAAATCTAGTCATCAAGAAATATGTATTTATCAGGATCCATCTTTTTTTTCGGGGGGGGGGAGTGTGACTTTTTAAAAATCAATAGGCTAATTCCCCTAAATGATAAAGCTCTACAATGGTGGAAATTGATCAGCTCAGTTAAAAGAAAAACATACATCTAACCTAGACCCTCTGTCAACTTCTGCCCAGTCTGGTGTCTTAAATGGATACTAATTGAAGCCATCAGATATGTACCATTTAGCAGCCCAGAACTATGTGTTTATTCAGTAGTTAGCCCTAGTGCATTCAGTAGGACTTAATTCCAGGTGAAGTGATGGATATTAAAACACAGAATACAGACAAATGAACAAGATTCACATGTGCAGTAAAAGCAATCATAATTCATGCAGCCAAACAGCTAAATGGAAGTGTTACTTACCTTTATAAGTTACAAACCAATGCAGAGCAGCAGCAACCAGAATCGCAAAGCTATGTGGCATGTTTGTTCGCTATTTAGATGCTCTACAGACTTTTCAGCATCTTTGTCTCAGCATCCAACAGATCTTCCTTTCCTCATTGAGCAGTTTCAGAGAAATTCCTTGTGCCTTGCACTTAACACTCACCCTCAAAACTTTGAAAGCCAAGACACTGCTCCAAGTTTTGCTGTCTTATGGTTGGAGTGGTTATGAGTGGAGCTGTCCTCAAGCACTGTCTTTTATCAGGCCAGATAAGAGTATAATGGGCTCACAATGTAACTGACTTCACAGGAGCAGTCAGAATGTTGTAATAGCAATAAAATTCCAAAAGAGAAAATGACCATTGTTATTGGGAAAAGCAATTGGTATCCATGTTATGAATGTGACCCCAGTACAAAACTCATTTGTGAACGTAAATATACAAACAGGACAGATAAGTGAGCAGATTTCATGATGCATCTTCATCCACTACTCAGCTCAAATTTTTGTTTCCAGGACACAAACTCATCTCATAAGCTATTTATACAGAACTCCACTCCTGTTCTGAACCACCAATTGGAATTCCGGGACCTATAGTGCAAAAAGATAATGTCTCCAAGCTTTGGTTTTATCCCAACCTTTCTTTATTTTGACAACCTCCTTTTCAGGGTGGGAGAAGCCTTTTCGTTGTTGCTTTTCTAAAATTAATGGGAGTCAGAAAGAATTCCCTGCCAATCATCAGTAGATTCAACTTTGCCTTCTACTCTGTCCTATCTTAAAACAGCATGGCACCATTTTTTTTTCTCTCTGGGCCAAATAAAACGAGGAAATATCAAGTATTTTGACTAACACTGTTCTCCTATCTTAAAACAGCATGGCACCATTTTGTTCTCTCTGGGCCAAACAAAATGAGGAAATATCAAGTACTGCATTTTGACTAACACTGTTTATCCCAAAGGATCTCATAATATATGCAATTGTATACATATGGAGAAGTCATTAAATGCATTGCATCTGGACTGATTAACTTGAAGGTGAAACACTAAGATGTAGAATCAGCTGAAAGAGGATAACTGACTAGGCAGTTGCCCAAGGTGTGATAGTATAATGGGCATATGTCACGCCAGTTCTTCCTCCATAAACTGAGCACAGTCCACAAATCTCAGTGATACTCCTTGGTTTTTAAATTACGTTCACGTTTTATCCTTCCCTTGCTAACGTGGTAAATCACCCTGCAACCCACGGATGTAGTTGGCCAAAGGTGTCTTTCACATATGCAAGAAGGCTTTGCGTGTACAGTAGTCACAAGGGGGTGAATAGAAAAGAAGCACTGCAACACCAAGGCGGTAGAAACTCACTCCTTGCTTCCCGTTCAGGACTATGTGCCTCTGAAAGCTTATTATTCTCACACATTTTAATAAAAGACGGAATCATTAGAACTATTTAAAAATGCTATGATTAGAGTAAGAGAATCTCAGGCATGAAAGGGGAATGGAATATGCATTGGGTGGCATTTTTCAGAAATGTCCAGTCTTGCACTGGCTGAAAGAGACTGGAAACCACCACTGCATGTTCTGTAGCAAGGGTCAGCGAAGTGTGGTGCTCCAGAGGTTTTCGAATCACAAGTCCCATCAGTCCTCATCATCATGGTGAGGAATTCTGGGAGCTACAGTCTAAAGATGGCAGGGTGACTGTGAGGTGTGATCTCATATGTATTACTTTGGGTCCAGCCAAAGTTGAAGCTGATATTTTCCCGTCTACATTATGGTGAAGGAGATTGTTCCTCAGTTCATGAGGGGAAAGGTTCAGGCACATCAACAACAGTGTGCATTGCTTCTGATCTGACTCAACTTCACACTCAAAGTTTGGAAAAGTTCATTTGTGATTTATAACTCCCAAAAATATATGTTCCAACTTGTGTCAACAATACCTCAATGAAGTCTTTGATGACTTCTCTTTTTAGAGTCCTTCCTCTAACCTTATTGTTCTTAGGTAAAGGTAAAGGTTCCCCTTGACATTTAGTCCAGTCATGTCCAACTCTAGGGCACAGTGCTCATCCCCATTTCCAAGCCGTAGAGGCAGCATTTGTCTGTAGACAGTTTCCATGGTCATGTGGCCAGCACAACTAGACACAGAACACCATTACCTTCCCACCGTGGTGGTACCTATTTATCTACTCGCATTTTTACATGCTTTTGAACTGCTAGGTTCGCAGGAGCTGGGACAAGTGACAGGAGCTCATTCCATCGTGTGGATTCGATCTTAGGACTGCTGGTCTTCTGACCTTTCAGCACAGAGGCTTCTGTGGTTTAACCCGCAGCGCCACCACGTCCCTTTATTATTACTTACTTGAATTATCTGTTACTTTTACATGTCAGCTCTGACCTATGGTGTCCCTATGGACAAATCATTTGTCCACAACAACCCTGCTCTGCTGTATTCCTTTAGGAAGTCAATGCATCTCCTATTTCATCTTCCTCCTTTCCTGCTGCCTTTGTATTTTCCTAACCTTATTCTCTTTTCCAGAGAATCTTGTCTAAAATATTTATACAGTGGTGCCTCGCTTAACAACGATAATCCATTCCAGGAAAATCGCCGTTAAGCAAAAACATCGTCAGCGAAAACAAAAACCCCATTGAAACACATCGAAACCCGCTCAATGCATTCCAATGGGATAAAAACTCACCGTCCAGCGAAGATCCTCCATATGGCAACCATTTTCGCTGCCTGTATAGCGAGGAATCTGTCCCTAAACACAGCGGGGAGCCATTTTAATCACCCGGTGGCCATTTTGAAACCACCGATCAGCTGTTCAAAAAACGTCATTTTGTGAAGAATCGGTTCCCGAAGCACGGAACCGATTATCGCAAAGCGTAATTCCCCCATTCAGACCATTGTTTTGCGATCGCAATTGCGATCACAAAAAGATCGTCATTAAGCGGTTTCGTTGTAATGCAGGGCAATTGTAAAGCGAGGCACCACAGTACCCTGCTTTTCAATTCAAAAGGACCCAAGGCAACTTGCAATGTTAAAACAAACAGTCCTGTTTTTAGAAACCATGTCTTAGGCAGCCTGTTATTGAGGAAAAGCCTGCCTGAAGAAACAGTTATTTGCGCACTTCCAGAAGGATAGCAAAAAGGGGGTCGGACTGGCCTCCCATGGGAAAGACTTCCACATCTTGGGAGCAGAGGCAGAGAAGATTCTCATAAACTCATCAAATGTACCTGTGAAGGTGGCGGGACTGAGAGAAAAGCTTCCTCTGATGATCTCAAAATCTTCAATGACCTCCTAGGGACATCTTGCATATAAGCCAAAAATCCTGTGCCACCAACTCCACAGCAAGGTCCAGATGTCTTGCAGTATAGGTAAAAGTAAAGGTTCCCCTTGACATTTAGTCCAGTCATGTCAGATTCTAGGGGGCAGTGCTCATTCCCGTCTCCAAGCCGTAGAGCCAGCGTTTGTCCGTAGACAGTTTCCGTGATCACATGTCCAGCGCGACTAGACACGGAATGCCCTTACCCTCCCACCAAGGTGGTACCTATTTATTTACTTGCATTTACATGCTTTCGAACTGCTGGGTTGGCAGGGGTTTTGCAGTATAGTTCAGGGCGAAGAAACCACTTTTTCACCCAAGGGGCAGATTCCCCTGCTTAAAACTTTCAGGAGGAGGCAAAGTCAACCTCACATATCATTGCTCTCTCCATCTACCCCCACACGTTGCCCTCTTTCTTTAGTAAGGCATGTAGCTCATCAGCATACAAAATTTTTTTGAAATTGAGTTAGGCTGGCATTTTCCATATCAAGATGGGTCAGTCATTCCTGTTCTGGGCTTCTAGCATGTGATGCTCAAGAATACAAGCCAGTCATGTGAGGTGTGGGTGTGGTGTAAGAAAGGCTGTTTCATCTCAGAGGTATGAGGAGATGGCAGGCAGACAGGTTCTATCAACCTGGTTGGTCTTCAGGAATGTACACACTTTAATACTGATAGAAGTATTTTATGGCAGATTGCTGCCAAATTGCATTCTAAAGTCTGAATATGCAGCTCAGATGTTCCCTTTGTTCTGTGATCAAAAGAAGCAACACCACATTTATTTAGCTGATCGGGTACTAAGTCTAGGGAAAATCAGACTGCATCGTATAAGGACTAGATATTAGTCAGAAACCATTTATATTTATGAATCATTAGAAAATGTTAACTGTTTGGAAAGCCTGCATCAGATTTCTTGTTAAGAGGTAGCAGTTTTCTGGCTAACTCCACTTCCTTACCCAACTAGCATCCCAGTGATTCCCCGTTGGAACAGGTGCCTCTTGTGGTTGGCCTGAATGAAGTGTAGTGGAGGTGTCAGACAGGTTCACAGAGAGAAACGTTTGACTCTTCACTCAGCCATGAAATTCACTTAGTGAGCCTGGGCCAGACACACCTTTTCAGGCTCAATCTACTTCACAGAGTTGTTGTGAGAACAACATGAATGAAACCTATGTATGGGACCTTGGACTGAAGAAGAAATGTGAGTTACAATATAATACCTAATGAATAAATAATTATGAAATGAAGTATGGGCTTCTAGCATGTGATGCTCAAGAATACAAGCCAGTCATGTGAGGTGTGGGTGTGGTGTAAGAAAGGCTATTTCATCTCAGAGGTATGAGGAGATGGCAGGCAGACAGGTTCTATCAACCTGGTTGGTCTTCAGGAATGTACACACTTTAATACTGATAGAAGTATTTTATGGCAGATTGCTGCCAAATTGCATTCTAAAGTCTGAATATGCAGCTCAGATGTTCCCTTTGTTCTGTGATCAAAAGAAGCAACATCACATTTATTTAGCTGATCGGGTACTAAGTCTAGGGAAAATCAGACTGCATCGTATAAGGACTAGATATTAGTCAGAAACCATTTATTTTTATGAATCATTAGAAAATGTTAACGGTTTGGAAAGCCTGCATCAGATTTCTTATTAAAAGGTAGCAGTTTTCTGGATAACTCCACTTCCTTACCTGACTAGCATCCCAGTGATTCCCTGTTGGAACAGATGCCTCTTGTGGTTGGCCTGAATGAAGTGTAGTGGAGGTGTCAGACAGGTTCACAGAGAGAAACGTTTGACTCTTCACTCAGCCATGAAATTCACTTAGTGAGCCTGGGCCAGACACACCTTTTCAGGCTCAATCTACTTCACAGAGTTGTTGTGAGAACAACAGGAATGAAACCTATGTATGGGACCTGGGACTGAAGAAATGTGAGTTACAATATAATACAAAATGAATGAAATAATTATGAAATGTAGTACCATCTGTATATGATTTAGCAAAAAAGTTGGACATGTCCAGAGAAACCAAATGTTTAAAATGTACGCATGCTAGGTCCAAGTAGGGCTAAATGAATGTTACTGAAGGGTACTTCTCATGATCTCTTAGGACTCTTACCATTGGCTGTTCTGATTTGAAGTAGCAAGTCAGCATTTAGCAGGGCCACACACAGATGGGAAATTCCTTCTTCTGAACAACATCTCCCATAACACCCTAATCCACTGGCCAAGCTGACTGGGTCATTCAGAAGCTGGGGCACAAAACAACAACAGTTCCCATTTCCGGTCACACATTCTCCTCCTGGTTACTAATCCAAAAGACCAGGTAAAAAGCAAACCATGCCTCTTTGCACTCCCCTGCAGTTTGCCTCCCAACGGTCACTCGGAGCATAAGCATGCCAAGCATGGGGCCTGGATGATCACTTGGGAATAGCTAGTATTTATGGGAGCGAACTCTTCCTGCTCTGATGCTTCCAAGCTTTTTGAGACTTCTCTAATGCCTCACTCTCCACTGCCACATAATCCCCTTCAACATTAACACATCTTCTGAGTCTGCAATGGGAGAAGGGTATCTGTCAGATCTGCTTTTATCTGGATTCTTGCACTGAGCAGGAGTTTGGACTCGATGGCTTTATAAGCCCTTTCCAGCTCTATGATTGAAAAGCTTTGGCCTGGGAAACAATGTCCTCACCGGCTGAGTACAAAGAACGAGAAGACCCAGGGCACTAAACCAGGAGACAAGCAAAGAGCAATCCCTCATCGGATCACAATTTCTTTTCCGTGCCAGGCAGAGTCCTAGAACATGAGGATTAATAAATGCCTCCAAGAGGGTAAAGAGAGTACATTTTGAAAGGCCTCTGGCAAAGTATGCCAGTTCTCACTACATACACCACCATCACCAATTACAACAGGCTTGATGCTGGTGCTGACCAGCATGTCCTCATTTTAATTTCCTACCTATTCCATAAGGATAATGGAAAATTCAGATTGTGGGTGGCTTATAGACCCAGCTGTGTGGCCCAAGGACGACCTCAGCCCCGGCCTTTGTCGGAAATGCTGGCTGCTATCCAAGACTGCCAGGCACCAGCTCTCTTGACCTTTATCATAGGAACATATCAGAACACAGCCCCCCCTCCCTTGCTGTCCTCACCACACACGCAGCTGGCAGTGGGCTGTGGCTTCAAGCATTCTGTGGTTTCATAAGCACCAGGTGTGGTGGCAGTTGGCAGCGGACCGGAGGGAAGCGATCCTTGTGGGATCTGTCTTTTAAAGATATATATAAGCACACTGAGACTTGAGAAACAGAGGGCTCCATGCAACCCGTGAGAGTGAGAATTGGCAAACAAAAAGTGCTGCCTGAGAGCACAAAATAGCCACTGGTTTTTTTTCCCCTTATAAAACATGCCACAATAAAACAGGACCAAATTTGTTTTGAACTGTCTCAGTCAAGCTTGACTCTAAGCACATGCACACATAATCGGTCTTGTGGGCAGTCAGGTCAATTCAAACGTACAGAGGCCCCTCTTTCAGGGTTTCCTAGGTAGGGAGTACAGTACTCATAAGTGGTTTGACGTTCTCTTCTTCTAGGGATACCCTGGGACTGTGCAGCTTGCCCAAGGCCACACAGGCTGGCTCTTCTCCCATACGACACAGTGGGGAATTCAACTCCCAGCCTCTGGCTATGCAACCAGAAACCTAACTCATGCATACACGAATATGTATACATATATATTGTACATACTGTACATGTGGATACACATAAACAAAAATGCACAGAGATTTACTTATATAGTCCCTCTGTGTGTACAGGAGTGGGCAATGCGCATGTATGTCCGTTTTAAAACTAAAAACAAAACAAACAAAAACATCCAAGCCTGTTTCAGTTTAGGATGTGTAGTTTGCCCCCAAAACTGGAAGCAATTTTTTAAGTCCCATCCCTGCGGAGAAGTATGGTAAAACTGCCTCCATAGGCATCCTAGATGATGCAGGGAGCTGTTCTAAGGGTGTGTGCTTCTAAGTGTTAAGGCGTTGTTTTTAATGAGGGTGTGCTAAGGCTGGTGCTCTGTAGTCCAAAGGGAGGAAGGAATGCATGCATGGGTTCCAGACCTCTAGTAGTCACCCACTGTGATGTATACACATGAGGGATGTCTATGGGGTTGTGTTTTGCCACCCCAATAGTAACATGAGCACACCCATCTCTGATTTATGAAAGGTTAGGCATGGATGTGAAATTGGGAAATAGCTGGGGTGTGCACACAGGGTTAAGACCTGCCTGCCTGAAACTCTGGAAACGTACTGTGGGCTACAGTTGACAATACTGAGCTAAATGTATTAGTGATCCGATCTGCATTCAGACAAGCAGACAGAGAACTAATTTCTCCGATCGTAGCTCCTCCTGTATCAAAGACAGAACCATCCACGCTCAAGGTGGTGATGTTAACAGGCTGAGAAAAGGAGGGATTTGCTCAAGCGAAAAAAAAGCAAGTACCTTGGGGAAGGAACCTTAAGGCGACCTAAAATTAGCTGCCCGAGCACCAAACCCCCACTGACCAGGCACACAAAGCTGTCGATGGAGAAGCGGGATTGAGAGAAGACTGGGAAAAGGCCGAGGGAGGAGTGGCCCCCGGGTAAAGGGCCTCCCTCCACGTAGCCCAATGAAGGCTGCTCCTTCCACTCGCTCCTGGTACAACGCGGATCGCTCCTCTGAAGTGAGACGTGCAGAAAGCCCGCGCGCCTCCCAGGTTTTAAACTCCCCAGGGCGAGGCTTTTCTACCAATCAGAAAAGGCTTGCCGGAGGCAGAACGAAGCCAAAGCTTTGGGGTACTGTGCCTCTCAAGACTCATCACCACTCATCGTCTCGGCCGACAGCAAGCCCTGCAGATCCGCCCCGGTGTAATAGACGTGCAAAGAAATTATATGCAGCCCTACCCGAAAATAAGCACCATCAATTTCAATGACTTGCTCGGCGTGCTTGTGAACGGGAGACACCTCTGCATCGGACTCGCGATAACATACCCGTAAACGTGCAGCTAAACGTGCGTGTAGGATTGCACAGCAAAGCACGCTCAGAAGCAAACACCAATAAAGACTAGAAAAAATATTGCACACAAAAAAAATGTAAACTTCAGTTCTTTCGAGTGATCATGTAGTGGCTCTTAAAAGAGCCTTTGGGTTTCGTTGTAGGGCTGGGCGGCGGAGGAATGGGACGGAAGCCAGACGAGCAGAGATTTAAGCCCTCTCGCCACGGATCCGCCGAGCCAGCTGAATATCTTTCGGCATAATGGTCACTCTTTTGGCATGAATCGCGCAGAGGTTCGTGTCCTCGAACAACCCTACCAAGTAAGCCTCGCTCGCCTCCTGAAGGGCCATCACCGCCGAGCTCTGGAAACGCAGGTCGGTTTTGAAATCCTGGGCGATTTCACGCACCAGGCGTTGGAAAGGCAGCTTGCGGATCAGGAGCTCGGTGGACTTCTGGTAGCGGCGGATTTCTCGCAGAGCGACGGTACCAGGGCGGTAACGGTGAGGCTTCTTTACGCCGCCGGTAGCAGGGGCGCTTTTCCGGGCAGCCTTTGTGGCCAGCTGCTTACGAGGGGCCTTGCCGCCAGTCGACTTGCGAGCCGTCTGCTTCGTCCGAGCCATCTCTCTCTCTCCACGAACAAAGACACCAACTGAAAGCTATGCGCCTGGCGAGGAAATTTATATGCGACCCCTAGCTTTTGATTGGCTGCTGCTAGAAAAACGACGGTCCTCATTGGAGCGATTGAAGCTTCTGATTCGCTCACGCTAGGAAATCCGAAGCTTCATTGGATAGTTTGAAAAGGCCCGCGTTCCTATGAGAAAAATCGCCTGCCTCTTTGGCGCGTACTTTCTCCGTATTACATAAGCGTCCTGTGAAAAGGCAAAGCTAAGCGCTTTATTAAATTTTAAATTAGCAAAACTCAGCAAATAAAAATCAAGGCGCCTCAATTTTTATTCTATTAAAAGTAGCAAATTATTTGTTATTATTTAATGTATGTCGCCATCCCATGCTTTTCAACAAGCATGCTGAAAATATAAAATAGACCGTGGGTTTGTCATGTATCCAAATATGTTTTAAGCCATTTCATAGTTTTTATTCTATGAGGGGACTTAAAAGAGTATTCTGTCCCCTTCGCGAACAATTAGCAGTGAATTTTAAATATTCAAGATACACGCCTACTGAAAACTGAATACTGTACTAACAATACAAGCGAATGAACTCAGCCCTTAAACGGTAACTATTGGGTGAAATTTATTGAGGAACTTCCTTGGACTGACCAATAATTGTAGAAAGCGGGTATTTCAAAACGTTTTCAGCGGTTGACGCTAAAGACCCGACGCCCTACCCGAAAATCCTACTGTTCTACAAGTTTGCACATGTATTTGAAATCGACGGATGTTATTTGGCCAACGAACTGTAAAAATCAGTGATTAATATTTGAAATGGAAGGATGAGTTTTGAGATTTTTCCCTTGGTTGCATTCTTTATTTAGTTCACTTAGTGTTTGTTTAAAGAACCACGGGAAAAAACTATATTCGTTTTCAAAGGCTGATGGAAAACCAAAGTCGTATTTAATGTTAACATTTAAGAATTTGTGAGGAGAGCTCTTTTACTGAAGAGATGGTTGGCTCTTAAAAGAGCCTTTGGGTCAAAATATCGGAGGGAAAATTACTTGGAACTCGTGTATTTGGTGACCGCCTTCGTTCCTTCAGACACCGCGTGTTTCGCCAGCTCCCCGGGCAGCAGGAGCCGCACAGCCGTCTGGATCTCCCGAGAGGTGATCGTGGAGCGCTTGTTGTAATGGGCCAAGCGGGTGGCTTCCCCGGCGATACGCTCGAAAACATCATTGACGAAGGAATTCATTATACTCATAGCTTTCGAAGAAATGCCAGTATCCGGGTGGACTTGTTTCAGAACTTTGTACACGTAGATAGAATAGCTCTCTTTTCTAACCTTCTTCCTTTTCTTATCACCCTTTTTATGAGTTTTGGTCACCGCTTTCTTGGAGCCTTTTTTAGAAACGGGCACCGACTTGGCTGGTTCCGGCATCTTTATACTTCCATACACTCTCCCCAAAGACAGTAAGCAACTGAGTGTGCCTGCCTTTTATATAGTGGCTTCATGCAAATAATAGGATTGAATGTCTTCTTTTCTATTGGATAGGGAACAGCATCGTTACTCTGTTTACATCCTTCCTGATTGGGCAATGTGATACCTTTCTCCTATTGGCTGTTGAGACAAATTCACAAATTCAGCCAATCACAAAACATGACGTCTTTGATGTAGAGGGAAAGGGCTGCAAAGCGAGCGTTAGTTATGTGCTGTCAATTGGGAACCCACTTAGGGCTTTCAAGGTAAATGAAATACTGTATTTAAGAGGTTGTTTTACTAGTTCAGATCCTCCTGTGAGCGTCCGTGGCCAAGCGGGGATTCCAACCCTAGTCTCCAGAGTCCTCGTCCGTCATTCTATCAACTGTACCTACACTGGATACCAAAGCAAGAGTGCAGGCACTTTAAAAACATTTTGAAAGTTCATTTGACAGTCGCTCTCCTACATCGCTAAATGACATGTTGCTTTACATGACGTTGTCACGCTTCTCCACCCGGTAGAAGTTCACCTCCGCGATATTACTACTATCGAATATATATACAGTATATATTTATTTATTCATTTTAGAAGTAAACCAGTGAACCTTGGCAAACGTTTACCTACAGCAAAAAAATATTTTTTAACACTTAACATGCCGGAAGTTTTCCGACAGCGGGGAGACACTAAGAAAAATGCGATATCCTTATAAACATACTGGAACCCGATTTTATGCATTCGGATGTTAAGTTGTGCAATCGAGTCAGTGCTGACTAAGGCAACCCTAAAAGGGTTTCAAGGTTTGTAAGATGTTTAGAGAGCGGCGGCAGCAAGGAGTCGAATCCGTGCCGAAGAACGTCTCCAACGATTCCACACTTGGGTAACTGCATGTTAACCACCCACCCACATTTACACTCCGACCTATCCAGCTGAGCAAACGCAATAGTACTCAATACACGCCTGCTGCACGCTTACTCACGATCAGTTTAATGAGACGTCCTCCCGAGGACAGTCTTTCCTCATCTCTTCCACAACCAAATCCCCCTCCCTTCCGGGACAATACTTCCAAGCTAGTTTCCTTCAAGGGGGTTCCTCGGACAGTTAGATGGACTCATGGTCCGTCTCAGTAAAAGGAGACTTCCCCCGTTGAAAGCCTAACTTGCGGGAAGTTTTCAAAAGCAGGAAAACGCGTTTAAACTTTAACCACTGATGCTAAGCCTGCGAGGTGTAGCCAATAGTCTCCCGTTGCAACAAAAACGTGACACCTTAAGACTAATTCTAACTTGTTTTATAAACTTTCGTGTACGTACTGTATGGCTGCCCGTTTAATCAAATGCAGTCCCCGTGGGCTGCCATCCACGAAGGATAGCAAGCTGCCAGAAATAGGTTCTTTGCCACAAAGGATCGAAATGTATCCTTTATTAACATTACAAATGAGGACATCGGAAACCAGTTAATAATGGCTACGTAGTAATGTGGTGCTGGTTGGATAGCTCAGCGAGATAAGAGGTGGTTGGGAGTTCAGTTCCCTACTGTGCATCCCAAGAAAAGGCCAGCTGATGTGGCCTTGGGCAAGGTGCAGTCCTAGGACCCCCTCCCCTGCATTCCCGAGTACTCTACTGTACCTGGAGAAAAAAATCTGAAAAGGATCGCCGTAAATCAGAACTTGACAACATAGATGACTTAGTCAAGTTACAAGAACTGTCAAGCTTTGCGGATGCTCGACACCCACCCACCCCCAAAGGTACCGTCCTTCGGCGCAAACATACCCAAGATTGCCCCAAAGAGGGGGGGAAATTAAGTGCCAGGTGCACGACAGCTCTTTTTTTTGACGAAATGGGTGGCTCTTAAAAGAGCCTTTGGGTTTTTGAAAAAGTATACGCGAGCCATGGTTTACTTCTTCTTGGGCGCCGCCTTCTTCGCCTTGGCAGCTTTGGGCTTGGCCGCCTTCGGCTTGGCCGTCTTGGGCTTCACGGCTTTCGCCTTGGCGGGGCTTTTGGCTACTTTTTTGGGCTTGACCGGCTTAGCCTTCTTGGGGCTCTTGGCGGCCTTCTTCACCGCGGCCGGCTTCTTGGGTTTCTTGGGGCTCTTTTTGGCGGCAGCGGCCGGCTTCTTGGGCTTCTTAACGCCGGCGGCGGGCTTCTTGGCGGCGGGCTTCTTCGGTTTGGGCGCCTTCTTCTTGGGCGCCTTCTCCTTGCCTTCGGCCTTCTTGCCGATCTTGAACGAGCCCGAGGCGCCGATGCCCTTGGTGTGCACCAGGGTCCCTTTGCTCACCAAGCTCTTCAGACCCAGCTTGATGCGGCTGTTGTTCTTCTCCACATCGTAGCCTCCGGCGGCTAAGGCTTTCTTCAGGGCAGCCAGCGAGATGCCCTTGCGCTCCTTAGAGGCAGCCACCGCTTTGGTGAGGAGCTCCGTGACGCTGGGCCCGGATGCCTTGCGCGCTTTAGCGGCGCCCGCTTTCTTCGCCTTCTTCGCCGGCGCTTTGGCAGCGGCGGGAGGAGCCGCCGCGCTCACGGCTACGGCAGGCGCGGTTTCGGACATGGCAGCTGAGACGAGCACACACGACGAACCCCGAAAGAAGAAAAAAGTGAGCTCAAGTAGGTCAGCCGCTGTTTATTTATAGAGAGGCGCCGCCTCGTGATTGGTCGGCTGCAGAACCCGCCCTGCTGCCAGGCTGAAGGGGCTCTTCCGACCGCTCAGTTTTGTGTTTCTTTCGAGTTAATAAACCGCAAATTTCACACAATGCCTGCCACCAAATAATCAATTCTTTTAACAGGGGGGAAGAGCAAGGGGTGCTCTCTCTCCGTTTCGTTTTTGAAAGAGAAAAATGGAAGGGAACGATTTTAAAAGAGCTCTAAATCCCTTGATGCAGGATCTGGGAAGACCTTGAAGCAGCGAAAGTTTTGTTTTTCTTTGTAAATTAAAGCTATGCAATCTCCAAAATCACCGGGAAAACGATGCAGGTCCCATCTTTAGATAGTAATCTCGGTGGCGGGACATATTCGGAGTATTTTGTGCCAATATTCTCGCTGTAATTAGACTTCAAATAGGCAGAGGTAACACAAGACTTCCACAAAGTAGAAGCACCATTGCTAATCAGCGGAGCCCTAACCCACTCACCAGTTCCAGATAAAAGATCTCGAATGTGATATTAATATATAGTTAAGACATCGTAATCTGGACTGAAAATTAATGTATTGATCGTGTAAGATCCCCGACCCGGTTTTAGAGATTAATTTGGAAATAAATACTTCAAAGTAAGAAATTGACTGGCACACTTAGACATCTCACAGCTCGCTTTTATGTAGATTTAGGATACCATTCTAAGAATAATCAAAGTGCAATAAATTCTTTTTTAAAGATCAAATCACTTGCAAAATACCTTTTGGGTATTTTTGGTGGTCTTTAGGTTTCCAAATGAAAGTGGCTGGTTTATGACTCGCCCTCACCATGTATTCTAGCTGAGAAAAAAATCCGCCTTTGTTTTCCAAGGAATATATTTCTGCTTGCTAGGGAAACTTTAATACTCACAAACGAATTTGTTTCAGTGTTTGCTCATGGCCCTATAATTACTGTAAACAGGAAACCCCACAAGTGAAAATGTGTTTTTAAAAAATAAGATAAGGCTGGCATTAAGAAAGACCCGTGTACCCTCACAACAGAATTGCAGCAGGAGCTGTCGTGGATGTTCAGCACCATCCGATTCAGTAAAACGTTATTTCCTACTACTGTACTTCCAAGACAAGATTCAGGCACACTGTATTTATATTCAGTTGGAACAATGACTATATGCCACACGGTCTATTAATATAAAATAAATAAATAAAATAAATATATGCCACACGGTCTATTAACAGGCCCACTGTGGATGCAGTTCTGCAGAGTAGTTCGTTTGAGTTGAATACACGGTCTATTAACAGGCCCACTGTGGATGCAGTTCTGCAGAGTAGTCCGTTTGAGTTGAATACTACTGTATTTGCATCCAGGGAAGTGTACCCGAGAGCTTAGATCCCATGCATATCTGATCGGCAGTAAAGCCTAATGGACCAAGTCGGGGCAATACATGACTGTTTTAATAGCTTGTTACATTACATCCATCCGTTTCCCTAAAAGGTTCCCAGAGGCCGGAATGACTCCCGTGTCCGGTACAGTAATGTTTTTTTCCCCCTAAAGAAGCAGGTGTTCATCTCTCTCAACATGTTGTCAAAAGAGGCGGGGGAGGAAAAGGAAAAAAAGGCAAAATATGGCAGCACTATAAAGACTAACAGATTTATTTCGGTGCAACTGAAAAAAAAATCTGCTAGTAAGACAATACAGTATTCTTCTCCCCTTCCACCATCATGGAAGTCAGTGCGTTGGACCCACGTTGTGTAATCAAAGGGAAAAGAGTGTGTGCGCGCGCGCGTGTCTTGCGTGTGCCTGCGCTTAAGCAGCGGACTGTCGGCGCTCCTCCGTGAACTTTTGCATTTTCCTGGCAGTGGCACTACGTCGTGGAAGGCTCGAAAGGACCCGCGTTTCTTCGGAAAGGGCAACTAGGCGGACATGGTCCGCATTTAGAGGACCTAACGCAGGTTAGAGGTGTTCGCACAACAAGTCACCTTTTATGAGCCCAAGAGGACGCCAGCCGCTTCTGTCCCGCGGCCCCAAAGCAGCAGCGAAGGCGAAAAGCTGACAACTTGGGCGATTCCGTCGGGCGATCCGGCACAAAAGCGAGGGTGAAGGATGCTCGTGGGCGGTCCATTTGGGCGCCCCCCCCCAGCAAGAGCGCGAGTTTTCAAATCGGGACCTCCTCCAATGAGCATCGAGTTTCGAGTCTCAGCCAATGGCGAGGCCGACCGAGCGGCTTCTAACTGGGCCTCCCAAGCGATCCAGCGCCCAACTTTCCCCCGCTTTCTTCTGGGGGAG